CTAGGAGCAGGGGACAGGTACTGTGCTGTAGTTGGATGTGAGAGGATCACTAGGTGCAGGAACAGGTTGGATGTGAGAGGATCACGAGGTGCAGGGGACAGGTACTGTGCTGTGGTTGCATGATGGGTGGATATTTCTGCAGGAAAAAGGAAATGTGAGAGGCTGAAGCTGAGGGTTCAGCCTGAGGAGGGAGAGAGAGTTCATGATGTATGGAAATGATGGGAGAATGAATAGTCTTCATCATAGGAAGCCACTGGGAGGGAGGTGTAATGTATAACATAAAGCATAAAGTGCAAGTTTCCAGAGTGGTTATGGGTAACAAACTTTTAGCTATAATAGGCAAAGTGCTTTGAGAGCTGAGTCTCTAAGAATCACTAGGTCAACAAGCAGTGGTGTGACATTTGGTAGCTAGCAGTATGTTGGTGCCATGGAAAGTAAATGACATGACACAGTCTTTCCTTTAAGAACTTTAAAAGATGGGCTGGCCCCGTGACTTAGCGGTTAAGTGCGTGCGCTCCGCTGCTGGCGGCCCGGGTTCGGATCCCGGGCGCGCACCGACACACCGCTTCTCCGGCCATGCTGAGGCTGCGTCCCACATACACCAACTAGAAGGATGTGCAACTATGACATACAACTATCTACTGGGGCTTTGGGGGAAAAATAAATAAATAAAATTTAAAAAATAGCTAATTAGCAATACATCCCCCTCTGAGCATTCACAGTACAGTAACAGTACTTCTAAGTGAACGCTTTCTGCAGTTTTCGAATGTACGGAGTTTCCCTTGAGTTTGATCCTTACAGCAACACTGGGAGGCAGCCAGGGACAGCTCGCATTGTCCTCACACTGTAGATAATGAAACTAATTTCCCAGATGACACTCACTGTAATCCCAAAGTTTTTGGAATTTGTTTCCATTTTTTAATTAAAAAAAAAGTTCAGAGTGGCTACGTCCTATCCTGGCGATAGTGGGTCATATCACTAGAGAGTGGTGGTACCATTAACTGGTTGCCGTGTCCCTGTTGCGTGTTCAAACCACATGAGAGATAAAATATGCAAACATTATGAGACAAGGATTCAGAACCCTCTGTGGTGGTTTTGAAGAGAATTTATGTTCACTAACCTCAGCCTTTCATTTTCATGATACCTGTGGATACTTGTAAAAACCTCTGAGGGGGTGTACCTTCAGTGTATGCTTACTCAGTTGTATGCCCAGCTCCTGAGAATGGTACCGGGGAGACTGTACGTAGACATTTAGCTCTTTACCTCTTGATTTGCTCTGGGCACTTCCCTAATTAAACAATGAGAACAAAAACCTGAAAGCCTTGGATGATGTCCTGAGTACAGTTTAGGAAATCTGGTTAAAGGATTAAAATAAAAAATTTGAAATACAAATTAATTTGGGAAAAATCTTCCCTATCCAAAGAAGCACTTTCCTCTGATCACTCTTCTACTTATTCATATGCACCACCTTCCCCACCTCAGGGCGGCCAAGGACTGGAGGTTCCCATGCTTAGGGACAATGCCATGCTGAGCTGGTCGCCCCTGCTCGAAGCTGAAGGTGAATCACTGGCTTCTTTTCCATCTGCCCTTGTTTCCCTGTTGACAGAGTCTTTGCAACAAGTGAGATAGTCGTGCTACTTTGCTTCCGAGAGTGAAGGAAATTCCAACTGGAGGCTCCATCCGCCTCCCCCCCTAAGCTCAGATTCTGTCTGCATGTTCCAGTGCTGTGCTAGTAGCGTTCCTCTGGGAGGGGTGGCAGCCCGTCCAGCCTGAGGTGCAGAAGTGTAGAGAAAGACCTTCATGAAAACCTGCAGTCCAGAAGGAGAACCCAACCTTGACATTTGAGCCCTAATAGGTGCTTTATAAAGTCTGCATTTTCTACGTTCTCTTACTGGCATAAAAGCTGTTTGTTATGAGTTCCTGCCAGCGTGGCTAAGTAGCCACATCACCACAGGGCATTTCAGGATCTGCTGAGCATTCGTGATGAGGGAAGAAGTGGCCATAAATTTGTTTTGCTAGTGCTTCTTGTGACTTATGCAAAGAGGATTGGTGGGAAAGATGTCCTGTCAACAACCAGGCAGTTAAAACAGACTTCCAGACCCACGTTTTACCCCAAAACAAAACACAGACAAACTGAACCAGAAGGTGGTTGCCTCTCTTGCTTCAGCTGATGGTTCAACACTGAGAAAAGTGGTCATTTAGATCTGTTTGCTCTTGGCGCCTTCTTTCTCCTCTCGACTGACCACTCGGATTGTGGGGAATAGAGCTGCTCTCCACGGTGTGGTCAAGGTTGAAAATATTGTCGCTGAGCCAAGGACTTGAAGTCAGCCTGGGGAGGAGGTGAAGGGAGCTAACTTGGTCTATGGGAAGGAGCCCTGGGCTGCAAGTCCTGGTCTTGACACCTGCACCAAGCCCGCGTAGCTCCGGGAAATCCAGCCTCTCTCAGTGCAGTCTCCACAATCCATACAAATGAGGCCGTTTGTCTAGGAGATTTCTGAAGACTTTTCCAAATTCTAACATTGAGATGCTGTGAGAAGGTTTTATTAAACCATGAGTGTCTGAGTCAGTCTCTCCCTGAATCTGAGTTGTTTGCCTAAAAACATGAGACTTCCACAATGTCTAAGCCTCTTTCCCCTGTTGGTTCTGTTTACTTTCTTCTCACTGCACTCTCTGAGGCAGGGAGGGTAAAGCCTGTGTCTGTTATAAGTGGAGAAATTGATCCCCATGTTCAAACTCATGTTGGAATTGCTAAAACAAGCACACAACAGAACAGAACCCCTGAGATAAAGGGGTGTCTCCTGATTGCGTGCTCAGGCCTCTCCCCTGCCTGTGCCGTCTCCAGATTTGTGTGGAAGGGGAGAGAAGTAGGTGGACCAAACACCTGCCTCACAAGAGAGCATTTATTCTCATTCAAAGCCGAGGTCAATCTGAGACTTATTTCTTGCCCCTTAAAGTAAAGGATCCAAGAAAGGGCCCTGGGTGCAGACAGTTGGGCCGTGATTCTGAAGCCGTTTCAATCCACATAGGTTAACATCTAGGGCCATGTGCCTGCTGCCTTCCTGCCAGAATCGGAGAAATGGGAAACTTCCAAACCTCTGCCCCCTCAAATGCTGACCTATGACACCTCCTTCACAGGGGACGTCTCGTAAAGAACAGGACATGGTGCTTGGCTGTTATCTCCAACGTGATTTACAGCATCGGCCTGGGATGCTCAGCAAACTGCTGCTAGGTGCTGAAAAGGGGGGGAATTTTATTTTTGGAATCTTGCTGTCTTTAAATTAAAAAGTAAAAGGTTACAGCTCTCTGTTTAAACTCTGCATTTTCACAAGCTCCTCTTCTGAATCTTTGCTTCCTCCAAACATCTCCCATTCTTTTCCCTTGTCTTAGTGATAGGGCTTAGGTGCAAAAGCTAGAAAAAACTGTTTTCCAGCAAATGGCCAACCCCTTTCACAGGATCTTAGATCTGGCAAGGACCTCCAAGTTCATCTCCCCAGAATTCTCGTGCAGTGGATGAGATCTGAGGCCCAGAGCACATGACTGGTTAGTTGCAGAGTTGGCCTTAGGTCTCCTGACTCCCAAGACAGTGCTCTCTCTACTGGTGCTTGCAAAGTATGATGGATACCTACTGTGTGCCTAGTATTGCGGTAAGGCTAGGAAATTATCAAAAGCGGCCCCTGCCCTTGAGGTGCTGTGGTTTGAAGAGAAGGGGCATGCCTAAAAAATGGATAACTAACAAGAAAAAGCAGCAGACACTAAATACTAAGTGAAGGATTCAGGCAGCTCATGAGGGAAAGACTGTCATAGCAAGGGTGACTGTGGGAGTTCTTAGAGGAAGGTGGACCTGGAGCCACCTTTGAAGAAAGGGTAGGATTTAGGCCAACTGAGAGGAGTGGGAAAGGAGTTCTAGATAGAATGAATGGTGTGAACAGAATTGGGAGGTAGGATAGATACAGCATTTTGAAGAGCAATGAATGGACGACTCGGGCTTGATCAGGTCTCTGGTTTCTGTATGGGAATAACAGGAGAAAAGTTTGGAGAGGCAGGTTGAGGGTTTTGAATGGACCCTATCCTGAAGGCAATGGGGAGCCGTCGAAGGTTGTTGAGCAGAGTAGTGAAGCATACACAGTGTTCTAGAAGATGAATGTGGTTGGGGGCGGGGGTAAGGACAGGGGAAGGGGAGACCGGGAGGAGGCTCTGCTGGGCTGTTCCCAGGGTCAGAGGACGGGAAAGGCAGCTGTGAGATCAAACACTCTGTCCTTTCCATGATGGTGTCCCCCGCCCCTTCTTGTGCATACATTTGACACTCAGTAAATGCTGGCCACG